TGTGAAACATCTGGTCTTCCAGATGTTGTTGGACTCCATCTCCCATCAGTCCCAGGCATAATGGCCGGTGGTCAGGGACAAGGGCAGCTGAAGTCCAGCAACATATGAAGGGTCACAGCTTCCCTACTTAGGCTCAGTGGTGCCAAGTGGAGAACTTCAAGAAGGGATGACATGATCTCTCGTCCTCCCAATGCACCACTTCCAGTTACCGAGAGGTGATGCAGTGCAGGCAAAATGTCCAGAACAGGGGTCAGCAAAGTTTTTGTGACTTGGGCCAGTTCACGGTCCCGCAGACACCATGGTGGGCTGGAGTGCGCGCACACACACGCATGCACAAACACTATTTTCGGCGCTCCTTCCAGCGCGGAGGAGGAGTGCGCAGTTTCCCATTGGCTGCAGGAGGCTGAAGGCGGTCGCTGCTTTGCTCCGCGCGGTTTAGTGCGGTGCATGGGACCCGACCAAGTGGGCAGCAGGGGTCCCCAAGTGGGTGGCAGGGGTCCATGGGCTGGTTAAATGACACCCACAGGCTGTTTGTGGCCCATGGGCCTTAGCTTGCCGACCCCTGATCCAGAGTACAGTCATACCTCGAGTTGAATGTGCTTCGGGTTGAGCGTGTTTGAGTTGTGCTCCACGGCAACCAGGAAGTAATGGAGCGCGTTACTTCCAGGTTTCGCTGCTCATGCATGCACAGACGCTCAAAATGACACCACGCACATGCGCAGTAGCGGCGACCCACACATGCGCAGACGCGTCGTCGGGTCTTGCGTTCTGTTCGGAATGCGAACGGGGCCCTGGAACGGATCCTGTTCGCATCCCGAGGTACCACTGTATCAAATTGGCAAGGCATAGGGAAGACAGGAGAGTAATGCAGCCTCACCAATGCCACCCTGCTGACTGTTGCTGCCTTGGGTAGTAAACTTAATAGAGTGCAGCACCAAAATATACTGGGGTTACATTAGTGTAAGAAACACAGTGGACAAAAATATGTGCAGACTGATGCATATAATAGCTAATATCTTGTCTACTGCAAGGCACTCAACAAACTCTCAAGCTGAGGTCACTTTTCTCATGCCATGCTCTTCAGCTGTATCAGAAAAAGCCTTTTGGTGAATAGATCCAGCTATGGTTTGTGTCTGATAATACTTTGAGTTTGTTAATATATTAGTGTCATCAACAACATCTGCAGCCCTGCAATGCTGCCCAGTTTCACATAGCTCCATTCATTCTTATTGTCTTGAGATCTACTTTAACATTCACATGGAATTATGAAACATTAGCTGGAAAATATCTACAGTGGTACCTTGGTTCTCAAACTTAATCCGTTCCAGAAGTCCGTTCCAAAACCAAGCGTTCCAAAACCAAGGCACACTTTCCCATAGAAAGCAATGCAAAACAGATTACTCCATTACAGACTTTTAAAAACAACCCCTAAAGCAGCAATTTAACATGAATTTTACTATCTAACGAGACCATTGATCCATAAAATGAAAGCAATAATCAGTGTACTGTACTATAAAATAAATAAGACAGTATTGTAGATGATAAAAATTATTATTATTTTCTTACCTGCACTGATGATAGTCATTGTTTGGATGGGGGGCTTTTATCCATTTCTGCAGTCACACAATCAATCAATCAATCAATCAATCAGTAGTTGAATGGGTTCCACACAGTCACAAAAACAAATTAATCGAAAAAGCCTCAAAAATGAAAACACAAAATAAATAGCATAAACAAAAGCGCCACGCTTAAGTTGTTCTGGAAGTCCGTTTGACTTCCAAAATGTTCAAAATCCAAGGCACAGCTTCTAATTGGTGCAGGTGCCCTAGAAACAATAGCCAACAGCCGCATCGAACTTTCGGCTTCCGAAAAATGTTCAAAAACCGGAACACTTACTTCCAGGTTTTCAGCATTTGAGAACCAAGGTACCACTGTATTACAAACAGATGTTAGCATTCCTACACATATGTAGTATTTTAGGTGAACATAAGGAAATAAGTAGGAGGAAGAACTCTCTGAGGATAATTTTGTAAATTTGTGCTGTGGCTTTTGAAGATTCAGAAGGAGTTGGGGATGGTGGGTGGGTCATATGGTGACATGCTACAGGGTGTGGCTTTTTTTGTAAACATGCAGCATGCTGGTGTACGATTACTTCTGTTCATATTTAGCAAAGGTTAGTCTTTAAAATGGTGGTTGTTTTTTTCAGGCAGAACAACATCCAGAGAGGCTATAAAGAGAATTCAGCTTCAATGAGCTCTGAAAAAATGAATAGGAGTCATTCAGGACATCTTTGTACAACCTCCACTCTTTTCAGCGCAGACTGCTTAGAAGATGGCATTTCGAGATGCCATTCCACACTTTCCGACTGGTTCTACATTGGTTAAAGTCAGCCCCTGACTTAGAGATGAAAAAGAGATCTCTCTTGATAAACTGGTGCCACCTTTTAGAATTGATCTTTTTACTAGCAAGAAGCTGAATCCCTATGACTGTGGCATGGACCTCTGCCCCCAAATAAGGAAGAGTATTTTTAGCAAACCACACAGTGTTGAGCCCAAAAGCTAGTAATTTTCAAAAGGTGGCTTACCGTTAGGGTTTATATAGTTCTAGTTTCCTTTCCCCCCTATATTTTAAAGAGTATTGTCACCAATTTAAATAGCAGTGCTGAAATCATAAGCCTTGCTACATTGTAAAGCCTTGAAAATGGCCCAGAGGGAATGTCCTTCCCTAGGGCCTTCCCTATATATTTTCAACTCCTGCTCCCCATTCCTTTATTTCTTTTAAAAGAAGAATCATAAATTTTTCACATGTAAAAATGAATGACTTGATTCTAACTGCTAGTGCACTTTCATTCTTGGCTAATGTTATTAATCACAGTGTTTTATAACAGGAAAAAAGGAGGAGAAAACTGTTGGTGCAATAGTAATATAGAAATAAGAATTCCTGAATACCAAGATCCAAGTTTGGGGCAAGTGCTCTTTGGTGCAAGAACCCCAGGAGGGATTTAAAGTCACAAAATATGCAGCAAAGCAAATTATGGAAATATAGGCTGCTAGACCTTTTAAATATGTCCTTTCAAGTGAGTTCCAAAATTTCCCTATTCTCCCAGAACAGGAAAACTTATGTCTGGTAAGTTAGAAACTGGTTTACTTACAAACTCTTCAAATGTCAGGGTTCGTGTGCTTTTCCATACATCAGTCAGAAAAACTGCAAAAGCAGTAAAACTCAGCTTAGTTACAAAGTGGTAAAAGTTCCTACATTATTGTGCCACTCAGTAGTGGCTTGAGAGAGCCATGCGGTTGAGCTGAAGCAACCAGCTCAAACATTTTCACACACTGAGCTTCACACTGAAGGAGAACAATAGGCTTGTTTACCTATTTTCTCACAAAGTGAGGGAAGTGACATAGCTAAGCCTGGCATGACAGCCTACTCTGTGGTATTAACCCCTTAATGAATTAATTAGACTTAAGCATGTTGGGTATATGAGAATGGTTATCTCTCAAAAACCAAGGCATGGCATGACAACACTGCATTGAACTGTGCAATAGTTGTTGTTGTTGTTGTTGTTTAGACGTTTAGTCGTGTCCGACTCTTCGTGACCCCATGGACCAGAGCACGCCAGGCACTCCTGTCTTCCACTGCCACCCGCAGTTGGGTCAAACTCATGTTCATAGCTTCAAGAACACTATCCAACCATCTTGTCCTTTGTTGTCCCCTTCTCCTTGTGCCCTCCATCTTTCCCAACATCAGGGTCTTTTCCAGGGAGTCTTCTCTTCTCATGAGGTGGCCAAAGTATTGGAGTCTCAGCTTCAGGATCTGTCCTTCCAGTGAGCAGTCCATGGGACTCTCAAGAGTCTCCTCCAGCACCATAATTCAATAGTGCAATAGTACAGCAGTAAAAAAACAACAACCCCTAACTCTATTTTGATTCTCTCCCCCAGTTTGCTCATTTTAGTAGTGAAGAACCAGCCTTGTTTTCTCCGAAAGAAAGGAAAGAAGGTAAAAATTACCAGCCATGCCACAAAGGCCAAAAATCCAGTCTTTCTGTTTCTCTGCTCCTACAGACGCCAGGGTGCTTGAATCAGATGCAGCTCACTCTCTAGCCCAATCTATCCGGTTGATTTACAAATGTTGCTTCTGTCTGCATGGTGCTAATAAGGACTCTTGCTGTGCTTGGCCTTGTGCAGAGATAAAGCCAAGAAGCTGAGCCACATGATTAGGCAGTGATATACAGTCGCAGGGGAGAAAAGGAGGCAATGGGGTAGAGCAGGCACTGGATCTTTTCCTTCAGTTTGGAGACAATTATCATTACTCAAGGGAACACCTTCTTTGTCAGGACTCTGTGACTTCTTAATGTTCAGATTAATCACGATTTCATTACTGGTTCCTTCCAGCCATGCTGGGACCTTCTGCTTCTGGCCATTCTGATTTCCTCAATAGTTTCCTCCTCCTAGAAGCAAACTAAAGTATTGCTTGTGGACACGTAAAGCAGGAGGAGATTTAGAATGGAGAAGCAATGGCAAAGGGGAAAGTTCCCTCCCATCAGATGTGGAATGCCCTCCCATCAGATGTCAAGGAAATAAACAACTATCTGACTTTTAGAAGACATCTGAAGGCAGCCCTGTTTAGGGAAGTTTTTAACATTTGATGTTTTATTGTGTTTCTAATATTCTATTGGGAGCCACCCAGAGTGGCTGGGGAAACCCAGTCAGATGGGTGGCATACAATTAATAAAAGTATTCTTATTCTTATACCCTTTCTGGAACTCCAATTTCATTTCTCTGATTTGTCTATTCCATTCTCCCATCACAAACCCTCGTGGTTTTTCTCCTCTTGGGGCTCTTAAACAGATTTGCAAGGACATTTGTATTCACTCTGTATTATTTCTTGGAGTGAATTATTATTTTATTTATTTATTTATTTATTTATTTATTTATTTATGAGGAAAGAATTGTCTACCATCAAAGGGACTATCATTCAAATTCAAACCAAGTAACCTTTCTGCACGGAGGCAATGGCAATATCATAGCCAATGAGGTTAATTCAAGGCATGATTATTGTTAATTGAAAACTTTCCTACTTAGCCTGAGAAGATGGGGCCCTCACTGACTCCAGCTACAAAAGCTGAGGTTGCTGAACAGACACTTGGGCTGGGGGGCTGTTGGGGGGGGGCTGTTGCTGTTGTTGGGGTTTTTTTGGTATCTTTATTTTAGAATTTGTTGTGACATATGTGGAAATTGGTTGTGTATTTTTTAAGGTTTTATTTGTTGTTAATGGCTGCTTTTGTTATGTTGTAGTTATGTATCTTTTTCATGTTGTAAACCACCTTGAGCATGGTTTGAACTGTGGAATGGCAGTATACAGTGGTACCTCTGGTTGCAGACAGGATCCATTCTGGAGGTCTGGTCAGATCCTGAGGTTTCCGCAACCTGAGGACCGCTTCTGCACATGCGTGCGGGGTGAAACCCGGTAAAATACTTCCGTGTTTGCTGCGCGCGCATCCCAAAGTTTACATAACCAGAGGGTTATGTAAACAGAGGTACAACTGTACAAATAAAATTATGTATGGATGGATGGATGGGATATTTTAGCTTTTAAATAATTCTTTAAGAAAGTATTACAGTGGTACCTCGGGTTACATACGCTTCAGGTTACAGACTCTGCTAATCCAGAAATAGTACCTTGGGTTAAGAACCTTGCTTCAGGATGAGAACAGAAATCGTGCAGCGGTGGCGTGGCAGCAGCAGGAGGCCCCATTAGCTTAAGTGGTACTTCAGGTTAAGAACAGTTTCAGGTTAAGAACGGACCTCCAGAACGAATTAAGTACCTAACCCAAGGTACCACTGTATTATTCTCCCTCCCCTCCAGCTCCCAGCTCCTCTGTACTCCAAGTTCAGTTTTGCCTTTGTTGCATCCCTGATGCTCATTCAAGAGGCAACCTCTTGCTTCTCTTCTGCCTCCTTTCCGTGACATCCTCTGAGGCTTATAACTGATTGGGAAAGGTATGGGAGGTTACAGCATCTGACTAGCTGCATCCTTACCCACTACCAGTGTATTCAAGCTGATTGCTGATCAGGCAACTTCTTCTTTCCATTCCTCACATCTCTACCAACCTTCTTAAAAGCAGTACCTGGGGACAGTTGCAGCCTTACACGGGGTCACTTACTGCTTGTCATATCAGTGAGGAATCTTTTGCTGTTGTTCATGATAATTTGCTGGGGCCCACTATGAATCTGGGCAGTCCTATTAAATCATGTAAATGTTCTCATGCAAAATTCTGAATTCCATCTGTATCAGATTAACCTACATTTAGCCCCTGGCAAATGGTAGCCCATCTTTGTGTTTTAAAGCTGCCAAATTTGTATTTTGCATAAAATATATTTAATTCAGTCCCTGAGTAATTTTTATTTGGCACTTCCACAAGTGTTAACCACTTTTTTAAAAAAATATGCCGGGAATGTAGTAAATAAATTGATTACCCCTTTGCTAACCTGTCTGCCAGCACTTTGTTCATGAGAGAGAGAGAGAGAGAGAGAGAGAGAGAGAGAGAGAGAACTGGAAAATATCTGAAAATCAGCAGCAAAACCAGTAAATACAAAAAGTCTAAATAAACCCTATTGTTTATTTTTTTTTCTTGTGGGGAGGGGATTTAATTCAAAATACAACATTGACTACAACGTCTTTCAGCTTACCTTCAAGGAATTGCAAAGTGTTTATTTCAAATCCAGCTCATCTTGAGGAATGGATGCTGCTGCTGAACACTTCATATGACACGTAACAAATCAAACAGCTCCATCTATCTTGCATCCCCTTTTTTGTGCCTCTGCTCAGTAGCTAAATGAAAACTTTGGAAGGAGCAGAATAGCTATTAATGCGTGGCTGGCGTTCCATCAGCTTCTCAGCACAGGCAATTTGTTTAAAACACTTTTAAAAGGGGGTGACAACTGAGATATATAAATGATGCATTTGGAAACTCTTGGCAAATTTATTTTCTGCTATTTTACTGAGAGATGCTTTCTTTCTTTTTTCCCCACCCCAAAATAGGAGGGGGCGGAGAAAGAATTCCCTAAAAAAACCAATAACTAAGCTAAATTTCTTCTAGGAGTTTCTGTCAAGCTTTGTACATGCCTCTTTATATTCTCCAACCCCAACAAGGTACATAGCAATAAATAATTGCGTGTTCAGACCCAGAAATCTCCTCCCTAAATAAATTCAGACTTGACTCAAATTTTAGCTTTGGTTTTTGGCAGAATTTAGGCCACAACTTTATTGGTTACAGAAAGTGACTGGTTGCATAGGCTCTGGTTCGACTAGCTCCCTGCCTTGCAGGTAGCGCTGACCCAGGGCACCAGCATAGGTCAGCCAAGGGTGAACACCTGGATAAGCAGAAAGCCGGGAACGGGCTAACTCCGCCACCCAAATGTCCCCCTGGACTCAGGCCTGGCCACAACCCCCTCTCAGGGGTTGACCAAACCATTGAGTCCCTGGATTCCTTTAACAGAATACCCTTCACATAGGGATGGCGAGAGCGTTCTCCCATCCCTATCACCTGAACCAGTGCCTATCTGCAACCTTACAAGTTGTGACGATTTGCTTTGTGGCAGGTGAAACCCAAATGGCAACAGCCAATTAGCCAAGTGGGGGAAATTCCTGCCATGCCCCTGTCCCAACAACAGACAACACATGAGGGCATAGCAAGGTCAAGCGCAAAGCCCTAAAAATAGGGAGAGGTGGGCGGGTGTTCCGAATGCACGCACCGAAAGAGGAAGCTCTGGGTCACGTGCATGGGCATAAATAGGTCCCTTGAACCATTTGGACTGCATCCATTGGCCAGATTGCACCCAGCTACGAGGGACCCTACCAATCAGGTGTTGTGGCTGACCAATCGTACCCACCCACAACACAGGGAGTTGGTTGTCCAGGTCTCACTGCAACATGTGCCCTCTTTAAGGGAGGACCCGATTTGGTGTAGCATAATGGTGTAGCATAACCCTGAACTATAAACAAGGGGAGGGCTTCAGCTCAGTGGTAGAGTAGCTGCTTTGCATCCGCCTCAACTACAATCTACCTGAGTATCTGCATGAGTATGTTCTGGTATGGTTCTTCCTCTGAAGGTTCCTACTGTAGACAACCAAAATAAGAGATGGTCTGGAAACCAATCTTTATGAAGAATGGTGGAGGGGATTGGGTATGTTTAGCCTGGGATAGAGGAGACTGAGAAGAGATATGATAGCCATCTTCAAACACCTAAAGGGCTGTCACATGGAGGATGGAACTAGCTTGTTTCTGGAGCAGGGTAGGACCCTATGGATTCAAGTTACAAGAAATGAGATTCTGACTAAACACCAGGAAGGGCTTTCTGACAGAAAGAGCTGTTGGACAGTGGAATGGACACCCCTGAGAGATGGTGGATTCTCCTTCCTTGGAGGTTTTTAAGCAGAGGTTGAATGGCCATCTGTCCTGTATAATCTAGTTGAGATTTTATTCTGCACATCTTTTTCAAAACTGATGGTTTTACCTGTTGTTTGACACGTTTATGTTTACTTGCCTTTGAAATTTTATTGATTCAGTATTATCCTATGTATATTTTATTGTAAACCACTTAGAGGTTTCTGGTTGTTTTTCAAATGAGTGGCATGGAAACTCTATTTAAAAAAATACAGAAAATAATAATAAAGCTGATCAGAAAGGAGGGAGGTTGACAGCTGCATCTTTTGCAAAATTGAGCCTTCTCTCTGGGTACAGCATTCTTTATTTAATTTATTTCTTGTGTCAAACAACAATGGGTTGTATGCGATGCCAGTCCTACTTCAAGTAGTACCATTGAAGCTATTGAAGATGACTAAATTGGCTTCCTTCTATTCAGTGGCTCTACTCTGAATATAACTTAGCTGAATACAACCTAATGCATCCTGATACATTATTCCCTGGTTTGCGGATTCACTTTGTGTACTGTGGTAAAACATTGTTTTGGGTTTGTAGGGCAGTAAATTTGTGTTTTCCTTCAATAAATAAACAAATAAATAACACACTGGTACACTAAAGGGTGTAGGATGACAGGGAAATCCATAAATAAAGCTAAGGTTCTTTGCAGCCTGCCATTCTGACAGCATATTTTGCAAACAATCATAAATAACACTCACTGCACCCTATCAGAGACAATTATACCACACCATCAGCTCCATTGTTTTGATTTATTGGGGTCTCTGAAGTGAAAGAAATAGCTACCTGTCATTCCTAACGGCAATCTAATACACTTGATTCCATCTCGCCCCCTGTTCACAACATTCACGTCTTGTTTGTGTTATTTGCATAGTGCCTCTTCTCTCTTAAAATATACAAAAAGCTTGCATATTGGCTTGAAAGGGGGGGGGGGAGGAGAGACCCTGTGAAAGTTGCAGAGTTAAGGACTGAAGCTAATCTGGCACCAAAGTTCAACTGAAGTTGAAATCTGAGTTTCCTGTTTTGAGGAATTTCAAGGGGACTTTTCAACAGAAGGAGTCAAGTTCCTCAAATGGATGGGAGTGGAGTTCTACATTTTATGAAGATGGAAACTGAATTCCACCTGAGTTGAAAGGGGATTTTGTTAGCTTGAATGGTTAAGCGAGTATACTGCAAGCCCAGAACGCCCCTATTCAAACCACTCCTTAGCTGTCAAGTCAGTGAGGAATGCCCCACCACCACCCATTAAGAATTTTATTTATTCTATAACATTTATTGATAGGTTGCTTATTTGACCAGACATTTTAAATTTTGTAAATTAATGATTGTTTAGCTGCTACTTGCAACTTGCAACTACTTGTTAACTACTACTGTACTTGTCGTAACCACTATTTGCTTTTAACTGCTGTTGCTTGGAACTACTATTTGCTTGATGCTGTAGTCCATTATGTAGTGTTGTTTATTTTATGATTTGGTTAAGGTTTCTTCCCAATATTTTGCACCCTTCCTTGCTATTGATTTAAATTAAGAGTAGGTTATAACTTTTTTAAAAATTAATAAATATGGGGAAAATATTGGCCAACTTTCAGATTTGTTCTGAGAACAAATGTGTAATGCTCAGGAAAATATCAGGAAGTATTATTGCAAATTATTTATTTTTATTCAAGAAGGAGTTCTGAGTAGAGATCAGTGCCGGACTTACGTATAAACTGAACAAACTATAGCTTAAGGCGCTACTCACTTGGAGGCCCCCCCAAAAATTAAAGGAAAAAACCCTGAATGTTCATTTCCAAAATATGCTGGGTTTTACGTTGTGTAGGCTCCTATTCGTTATGTGCAAATGGCTTTAGATACCTATTAGGTCCATAAATTATCATATTCAACACAAAAAACAGCGACAATTTGTTGTTGACAAAGGACAGCTGGACATATAAAGGGTCCCATTACCTTCAATAGCTTAGGGCCTCATCAAACCTAAATCCGGCCCTGGTAGAGATATAACCACATGTACCAATATAAGCGGAGCCAATGTTGATAAATGCTTCAAATTAACCATGTGTTCCATAGCAGCTGTACAAAGAGACATAATGCAGATGCAGACATAACGCTTTCTCCAATCTTGGCATCACATGCTCCTGGGTGTGCGCCTTGACTCCCGGAATTATCCCTTTAAAGTCCAGGTGGTCCTTTTGCATCCCAGGCATCCTACTGGAGTGAGAAGGGGGAAGGTGAGGCAAAGAACGGTGGATCGGCTTCCTTCACCCCACTCTTCCCTTCTCCCTCCAGTAAGCAACAGCAACGCACTGAGTTTGGAAGTTGGCAGAGCAGTGGTGTCCTGCCTCTGCCACCTCACTTGCCACTACTGGTGGCTACTGAGGCAGACCAACGTGTCCCCCCCCCCCATTTTTTTCGGAGGGAATAGACATTTTGGAAAAAATTGAAAAAAAGTTCATTGTGAAATAGTTTTACAAATTGCGTGAAACGCAGTGCATATAAAAGTATTATGCTTGAAATAAAACAGGTAACCACCCTCCTTTTCCTCAAAAGCAACAAAAAAGCAAGAAACCATCAGCATAAAAAATAATCACCAACAGCAAATAAAGTTAAGGTCCACCTCAATATTTAAGCCCCATAGAAGGTCTACCCTTTGAGTAGTGCTTTAAAAAAAAGAAACAGAAGACACAACATATACATGCAGTTTATTCTATCTCATTTTCTGAACTACTGCTACCATTTTCCATTTCTTCTTCCTCTTCCTCTTTGTCATTTTTCTCATGGATTTCTAAAAAAGGACTTTTTTCCCAAAGTCATTTTTTAGAAGTCCATGAGAAAAATGACAAAGAAGAAGAGGGAGAAAACCCGTTTTCCCCTATTTTTTCTGTTGGTTTTTTTTTGGCAGGCCTTCCTATCTCTACTTGAGGACAGCTGGGGAAAAGAGTAAGACAAAAATTTTTTGCATGCCAGGCCCAGAACTAACAAACATCCAGTTGCTGAATAGTATGTTGCACTAAGGCTCAAACTTTGTTTGAAAGGAAAAGGAGTATGTGTGTTTTTTAAATTGAATTTGTTATTATATATCATAAGCCACATGATGGTAAGAGAGCTTCTAATCAGTTTACAAAAATATACGACAGAACATTAAAATGATTGATAAAACACAGTTAAAAGCAGGTATTTAAGAGTATTCAAAAGATGATTGAAGTCAGCAGTGGTTAAAAGGAAGAAAATTGCATGCATCTTCTACGTGTTCAGATGGGCTGGCCCTAACAAAAATGTTTTCAGCAGTTGCCAGAAAGAGTTGCCAGGTTATCGACATTGGCCTTGCTATGGAACTCAGTTGGTCGCCATTGTGGGGCCTGGTAGGAATTTTCCCACTTGGCAAATTGGCATGGGCCATTTGGTTTTTGCCTACCTTATAGCAATTGTCACAACTTTGTAAGGTTAGGCGGTTAGGCATTGGTTGATCTTATGATGGGGGAGGGGAGGTGTGGCCATCACCTGCCCCTCCAAGCTAAAGGTTATTCCGTTAAAGGAATCCAGGGGTGTGGATCTTGTCTGAAGCCTGGGGAAGGGCTAGGGCCATGCTGCAACCCTGTCAGGTACCATGGGAGAGCTCAAGTTGGTTTGCATTGACAGGGCTCCCCCTACTGGTGGCTGACCCTTACAGGACTCCCTGCATGACGGGCAGGAGTCAAATATAGTCGGGTCAATTCCAATGCCTAAGCCAATACTGCTCACATTCTGTAACCAATAAAGCTATGGCCAAAATTTGCCCAATAATCATTAACCTAATACAGTGGTACATCGGGTTAAGTACTTAATTCGTTCTGGAGGTCCGTACTTAACCTGAAACTGTTCTTAACCTGAAGCACCACTTTAGCTAATGGGGCCTCCTGCTGCTGCTGTAGCCGCCGGAGCACGATTTCTGTTCTCATCCTAAAGCAAAGTTCTTAACCTGAAGCACTATTTCTGGGTTAGCGGAGTCTGTAACCTGAAGCGTATGTAACCTGAAGTGTATGTAACCCGAGGTACCACTGTATCTGTGTCCTTGTGTCTTATTCATCAACGAGGAGGTGGCTTTGGGGTCTCGACACACAAATATATACCGTATTTTTCCATGTATAAGACATGGGTTTTCCCCTAAAAGATAAAATTAGGGGGCGTCTTATACACAGATACACCTTCCCCTATTTTCATAAATCTGAGTCCCCCAAAATAGGGGGTGTCTTGAACATGGGGGCGTCTTATAGATGGAAAAATACGGTATATTGTAACAGACACCACAGGGGAGGATGGATACAGGTACTAAGGCACAATTTATTTATGAAAATGTGCCCTTTGGATGCTTTATCTGAAATACTTCTTGTTTGTAGTTGCTTTCAATTTTTTTGTATATAAAAAAGAGGCTCTTCAGCAGTAAATGGACCTAATTCAATAAATTAATGCAAATAGATTGCTATTCCATGGTGGCCATCTGGAGGGAAAGCAAAAAATTCTACTTGAGGAGTTTCAACAAGCAGCTTTTAAGATGCTATTTGAGTGGTGCTTTGGAGTGCTCATTTTCTGCTCAGCTACTCATCCTTTTCACAGTAGCTGTTAGCACTCATATTACTGAAGGCAAAACATTCATCTTAGTTTAAACAATAACTCTGTTAGGGCCTGTGAATTGAGTTTGAAATGGTGCTGGCCATTGTCTAGTCTGGAGCAAAGGAAGAGGTGTAAGCTGCAAACTGGCTGCATCTGCACTAATGCATTTAAGCATCATCATACCCCATTAAATAGTCATGGCTTCCCTCAAAGAATCCTGGGAAGTGTAGTTTGCACAGGGAGCTGAGAGTTCCTTGGATATCCTTAGTCCCCTGAAACAGCTACAATCCCAGCATTCCCTGGGAAGAGGAAATGACTATTGAACCACTCTGAGAACTGAAGCTGAGAGAGGAGGCTAAGGGTCTCTTAATAACCCTTAACAAACTACAGTTCCCAGGTTTCTTTGGCAAGAGCCATGATTTCATAAAGGGGTATGACACTGGTAAGGGATGCGGGTGGCACTGTGGCACGTCTGGTAAATGAGCCACCATAGCCGCTAGAGGGTAGTGAAAATTTGAATCCCGGGCTTTTCATTTATTTTTTTTTAATGATATTTATTAAAATTTCAGAAAGAGGAATTACATAAATAAAGAAAAGGAGAAAAAACGAAAAAACAAAAACAATAAACAGAAGTAAAAATACAGGAAAAATACAAAATACAGAATAAAAGAATAAAAAACACTTTAAAAAAAATACATCAATCTTTCCATGCCTTACATTCATATCCTTGTTTCCCTGACCTCCTCATACCTCCCTTTTTTGTATTCCAATTCAGTTAGTTAATTCAGCAATTTCTTTCCCTCTTTATTTTCTCTTAATCCTTTAACTTAATATACTATAGCTTTGAATTTTCACCTGTTATCAATCCATTTTTTCATACACCTTTATAGCATTACTGCTTAAACCACCTAACTTCATTCTAACGTCATTCTAACATTCATTAATTTTGCAATATTTCTGTAAATAGTCTTTAAATTTCTTCCAATCTTCTTCCACCGACTCTTCTCCCTGGTCTCGGATTCTCCTTCTTAACCACTGTTAAGCCTGTCTCATTCTGAAACCACTCTCTCTCAATCGGTGTTAAGTTTTTCTCTAAAACCTTGGTTTTTAACTTATTCAGTTTAAATCCTGCAACCTGACCAAATTCTTGAATCAGTTCTAAAACCCTTTTGGTACTAGATTCTGGCTCCTGTAACATCAATACTAAGTCATCTGCAAATGCTCTCAATTTGTACTGTTTGGCTCTGACTTGTATACCTTTAACCAACTGGTCCCTTCTAATCATATTCAGCAAAACCTCCAGGACCGATATAAAAAGCAATGGGGAGATTGGGCAACCTTGTCGTGTCCCTTTTTCTATCTTAAATTCTTCCGTCACCACATTATTTATAATTAATTTAGCCTTTTGTTCTGAATAAATTGCACTTATACCGTTTTCAAAGCCTTGGCCTACCCCCATCCCCTGTATGTTCTTCTTCATAAAGCTCCAGGAAATATTGTCAAAAGCTTTCTCCGTGTCCACAAATATCAAAACTGCCTTAGTATTTATGTTCACTTGTAATTTTTCTATAATGTTAATTATGTTTCTCACATTATCCGACAAGTGTCTACCCGGGAGAAAGCCTGCTTGGTCTTTATGAATCTCTTCCATTAACACTTTTTTTAGTCTTTTAGCCAAAATGTCTGCAAAGATTTTATAATCCACATTAAGCAATGAGATGGGACGGTAGTTCTTAAGTTGTGTCTTTTCAGTCTCTGTTTTCGGTACAAGTGTAATATACGCTTCTTTCCACGACTCTGGTGCCCTTTTCCCATCCATTATTTCGTTACAGACTTCCTTCAAAGGTTGTACCAACCATTCTTTTAAGGATCTGTAATATTTAGAGGTCAGTCCATCCGGTCCTGGAGATTTACCTAGTTGCATATTCTGAATGGCACCTTCTATCTCCTGTTCAGTTATTTTATAATTCAACATTGATTTACTTTCCTGAGAGATTTTTTGTAATTCATTTGTTTTCAAAAATCAATCTAAATCAATTTCTTTCTGTGGTCCTTGTGTATATAATTGTTTAAAGTACCTCTGGAAACAGTTTCTAATCTCAGCTGGGTTCTGTATATTCCTTCCTTCCACTTCTAGATTTGTAACTGTATTTAATTTTTGTCTTTTTTTCATTTGCCAAGCCAACAATTTCCCACATTTATTAGCCGACTCAATTTTTTTTTGTCTCATTTGTTTAATTTTCCATTCTATCTCCTGATTCATCATTTCCATATATTGTACTTGATATAATTTTATTTCTCTCAAAATCTCTTGCGACTTAGGTTTTGCTCTCAATTTCTTTTCACCTTCATTTATTTTCTCCAATATTTTATCCTCCTTCTCATTTTGAATTCTCTTCTTTAATGCATTCTGTTGTATCAAGAACCCTCTCATAACAGCTTTGCTAGCGTCCCAGATTACTCTTTTTTCCACATTGGTGTTCAAATTTATCTCTTCTTCACTTCTTCATCTCTGAATAAGGTGTCATTCATCCTCCATCCAAAGGAACCAGTTAGTGATAGTTTCATCTCCATCTTCACAGCATTGTGGTCGGAGCAGGTTTTTGGGCAGATTTCCACTTTTCTTATCTTTGGTGCCATTCCTCTAGTTACCCATATTTGGTCAATTCTTGTCCATGTCAGTTTGGCTTCAGAGAAGAAGGTTCCCTCTCTGGCCAAGGGATTCTTTGTTCTCCAAATATCAACTAAGTCCAAGTTGTCTGTCATCTCAAAAAAAGTTTTCGGTAGTCTGCCGTCCTTTGGGACTACCTGTCTTTGTGCCTTATCCATGTGTGTAGATACCACTCCATTCATGTCTCCCATCAAAATCACATTATAATCCAAATAGTCCATCAAGGTCTCATGCAACTTTTTAAAAAATTCAGATTTCCCCTCATTTGGTGCATAAACTCCTACTATCAAAAATTTCTCTCCTTGTGTTTGAATTTCAATTGCCACAAATCTTCCTTGGTCATCTCTGAAGATAAATTTCGGTAATAGTCTCTCCTTTGCATTAAAAACTACCCCTCTTTTTTTAACCTTGTCCGAAGAAATAAACTCCTGACCCAGCCTTTTATTAATCAGTACTTACCGGTGTAGCCTTGTTACATGTGTTTCCTGTAAACAAATCAAGTCCAATTGTTCCTTTTTTAATAAATGAAACACAGATTTCCTTTTCTGAGGGGAGTTCAAACCATTACAATTCCAGCTTAATAGTTGCAGAGCCAT